TTGTTCAGATTAGTTGGTAATCATGGGAATGCATAACATACCTATCGGTCTGAAATATAGGACTTTCAAAACATGTGCTACAAATGTCCTAGATACTTCTAAGGGCGGGTAGTTCACCTTTGAACAAGGTTACAATATGCAGCTTTGATTGCTGTTTTGGGAGTATATATGTAACTGTGAATAGTTTATATATGCCGATGAGAGGGAGAATATGTAAAAAATATTAGTGGTTATCGATACTTAACACAATAAAAGTAACTCTTACTAATTCATTCGTTTATGTGACATGTTAGAAGAAATACTTTCAAATATAAATGCCCCAATGCCTTAGGTTTTATCAAGCAAATGTATGGCATGTGCAGTTCTGAAAGAAAACACTAGGAGTACCTTGACTATGGCTAAGACTGCATAGACTTGAGGCTGCATAATCCCCAGACTATCTAACGTATTAGCTATCGCATGAGAAGATTTCTCATCTTGTGTCCATATGTTTGATATGACAGTATTTTATATGTATGAGAACATTTCAACTAATCGCACCTTTCAAGAATTCGGTACCTTAGAGAGTTATGCATGAATTCATCTTAAAAATAAACCTTTGTTAAAGGGATACGCTGTTATGAAAATACCATTCTAGATGATTCGTTTGAGTCAATTAACAATGGGTAATATATTAAACAAAACAAAAATCCCACTGAGTTTTTGTACCATTCGATATTTTGATACATTATGAAAACTGCGTTGCTTTATATGCCGAAACCTTGATGTAAAATATATATTATGCTACGCATGTTTGTCGTGAGAGGCGACAAACGGGATCGGTTGGTCAGGCTCGCTGACTTGGTCGAAACATGTCGTCGTATCTTAATTGAGTAAATCGATGCTCATGGTGTTGATCACTGGTATGCCCGGCCTAGACATGACTGTAAACAGACCGTCACCATACAGCTGAAACATTGCTGAGAGCGGCGTTAAACAACAAACAAACAAACATTCGTATTAATGGTGCTTGTGAAACCGTACTATAACAGTCAAACGTGCTACTGGCACAAAACGTCCTGTTCCTGTCGAGTAATACGGCCAAGTAAATATAGATCCACAAATAGTGGCAAATTGTGGGTACTGTACTCTACCTAATCACCACAGTGTTGGAAACATAACTGAAAATATCATAAAAGATTAGATATGTTTGTAAAAGTTAATTAAGATGTTTTAAGCCAAAATATTGACATTGGATCTCGGTGCTCATGGTCTTGATCACTGGATTGCCTGGTCCAGACTCGATTATTTACAGACTTTACACAGTGGAATAATGCTGAGTCTGGCGATAAACAATCAACAAACAAACACAATGCTAAGTCTTTCTTTGTACATGTTCCGAAAAAATGCTTCAGCCGTAGACAGTGGACTCTTGTACGAAAAAATGGCATTGTATTGGCAAGGTCTGTAATACATGATACGTCGCTTGCGCCGGACCATCATGACATGTGCTTTGACAGGCTGACAGAATCATCCGAGCCATGATCTCCTGACCTCTGACCCAGCAACTCAGATGTTGCCGAAAAAGCATTAAACGTTTCCTTCAGAAACTTCCTTCAAAGCATATTTTTCCAAACCAACACCTCACGCCTGGCCGAGATGTTCGGTCTGTTTGTATCAGTCCTTACCCCAGCTAATGATAAAAATAATATGAATCAATCTACCAACCGCCTGTGTAAAAAAAGACAACAGAATTAAACGACAGATTAGCTGATAACTAAGATCTGTTTGGATGACAAATGTTTTAATAATATATCTGTGCGAATGTCATGTATTTCTTTGTGAAAATGAGAACTCAATGTATTTTCTGTTTTGTATATTTTGCAGTTTCCTCGCATCTAGGTAAGTATTAGATTCTATTTTCCGAGCTTGTTGGTGAAGGGCATGCCTAAAGTGTGATAACCACTTAAAAAGAAAAGATGTATTTTAAGTTGGTGGTTGTCTGTTGGTACTGAAAACAATATTTACTGTTGTTTAGGATTTCAGGTATTATCATCACGGGAAGATAGTAAAACTTGGCATCTTCAGATATTTCAGTTTGACTTCAACTAGAAACAGAAAATGAGAATAAAGTACCCAAAGGTAACTATTAGAACATCTGCTGATTGTCTTTGACTGAGACACCTGATATTATCTTCGGATACACACGGTCGTATATATATAAAATATATTAAAAGCAAGATTACGATGGCGAGAATCTACCTAAACTCAATAGGGAGGTGCAGGGATCAGAAACAATATTATTTTCCTGGTCACATGTGAGCAAGAAACACACGAACAAATATCAAGCTGCAACAGAATACTCGCACGGCTTGAAAAAGGGGATGGCCAGCAGGTAACCATTATCAGATACCTTCTTTCAGTAACTAGTCACTGATATGAAAACAAATGCGTAGAAAGTACAACACCTAACGCAAAATGTAAAAACAATTATTAACGTAATATGTAAAATATTAGCGCAATATGTAAAATCCACTTTTAGGTTTGAATATAAGGGGTGGCGATCAAAATCCATTTTTGCCACAAATTTGCAAAAAATTGACTTTCTTTACAAAAACTAAGATATCGCAATGTTTCTTACAAAATAAACTTCATATTACATTTTATTTACAAAATTTTACCTTGTTCAGTATACATGTAAGCAGAGTCGATAAACATATAATTTCCTTGTATATGGAGATATTTTAATCGATGTTATAGTCTGTTTTCGAAAGTTTGAAAGGAATAATTTTATTCTTCAAACTTGTTTTCATAAATGATATTTTGGGTTGTATTCATTATGTCTTATTCAAGAAGATTTGACCTTTCCTTCAAACTGCCAATTCCGTTGTTGATAATCTGTGATTACCGAATTGGGTTTTTAAAGAAAACCACTTATTGATCCTTCTTACATTGGTTTGAAATAACATGAATGTTGTAGCAATGTTTCCAATTTTAATTCATTGTGTATGGGAGTCCGAATTAATGGCAATTGGTACTTGGCATCGTGATGGTAGCTCTGACCATTGGACTTCTACCAAGCAACTGATCTAGGAGAGAGCGCCAATAGTTATGATTTGACTGTGTACATGAAACAACGATGGGCGGTTTAAAGGGAATACTGGAATAGTTCCTAGATGCGTGCATCTTGAACCGCCATAGCTTCAAGTAAACCAACTGAGAATATGAAAGAAGCTATACACTCTCTCTCTCTCTCTCTCTCTCTCTCTCTCTCTCTCTCTCTCTCTCTCTCTCTCTCTCTCTCTCTCTATCTATCTCCCTCCCTCCCTCCCTCCCCTCCTCTCTCTCTCTCTCTCTCTCTCTGTCCCGTGAATCAGTGAGTGAGTGAGTTAATAAGGTTAAACACCCTTTCAGCATTTTTTTTCAGATATTGAATACGTTAATTACACTGAGATAAACAATAGAATAGCTGGTTCCATTGGTATAATGTTTGATACTACGTCAAATAATCATAGAATGTCACAAAATACACAGCGAATGGCAATCTATGTGATTAAATGGTGAATTACGATAATAATTTCTTAGGCGTGGTTTATGATTTTGCAATTCTATACATGTATCATTGATCTTGGCTTTGGCATGTTTGATGGATTCAGTTTTCTTAAACCTAAAACAACAAGTCATGTTACCCATTTACATCAATATTCCATATTACTTAAATTGCATCAAATGCAATAACTTTATTTCATTAAATTTGAGCGATCAACATCGGGATCCAATCTCAAATGTCTCTGGTATTACTCGATTTCATTGACAGCAATATTACCTGTGCCTTGATTGAAGGAAATCAAATGTTATTGGAATGCAAATACTCGAATCACTGCGATGCATCTTGCATGTCCATTATACCTAAAGTCATGCATTACATATCAACATGTTCCCGAAATTGATAACATGAGTGGGTAGAGTTAGCGTTTAAAATTCCAGCCTGCCCTACTGTCCGGAACGGTCTGTTTTTATCTCGGACGATCAAACTTCAAAAGTAGCCTGTCCGGTGGTCTGGTAGATATTTTTACCCCTAACAGTATATATTTCATAATATCAGTCATGTTCTCTTGTCGTCAGTTTGAGGTGTTTATGGTATTATGATGATTATGTTAAACTACCTACGATTGGACCGTTCATGTTACGATAACCAATGACAACACGTGTACTTTCAGTTTACCTTAACTCGGTGCATTGCCTGTTAGTGCTATGTAGGTCATTGCGATGCCTACAAACAGTAACCTGACTAACCTGAATTTGTTTTTTATTGGTGAAACCGGACAGGCAATTTTGTTTCCGGTCTGGTAATTTTTAAAGTTACCAGTCTGGCAGTCTAGCTTGGAATTTTGGGAATTTTAAACACTTCTAGAGTGCTTTGCATCAATCCCTTTACAGCAAAGTTCAGTATGTAATCACTTGGAATTGATCAAACACAAAACAAAATTTCCCAAGGTGTCATTAACTGAAAATGCGTGAATCATGAACACCCACATTGATAAAAGATAAACCAGAAAACCATACGACAGCTGCGCGATTAGCCCGCTACATGTCATAATTTCAACTATGTCACAAGCATTTATTTGTGAGAATCCCTTATACAGTGATGATTCGAGGGGTTTTGGTGAAATACACAATCATTCATAACTGATATTCCAGTGTTTTCCTAAACTATCATGCAAAATCTTTGTGCATCCCGTGAAAGATATACCCCTCCTCCCGTATAGAAAAAGTAGTATCGCAAATAAGACGACAGATCATTGAAATCATCTTTTATCACTTCCCATTGTTCTGTCAAATAAACTATGTTGAGTATCGTTATCATGTTTGAGATTTGCCTCAGACAATGGACTATCTTTTATTGATAACATATTGCAGGAGGACTTCTAAGACGTACATTTGGTATCAGATTCCATTATCCTTGGTTATTTTTATTCAAAACTGTTATTCCGTACAGAACAGTGGTGTCGCATACAGAATAGATAGATATTCTTTATTTCCTCCAGTGAATGAAGATACAATGTGATATGATATATTTACATGCAGATCAGAAACAGGGGAATACAGATGGTTACAAACAGTTTACAAAGAAATGTTTCCAGTTGTTAACAGTTGTACATACATTGGTCATACATTCAAGCCATACATTATCATCAAGGCATAGACAATATTCCGTTGGAAGTCCTCCGAGTAAGAAACATAGAATCAATTCTTCATCATTGTTCCAAAGGCTAGAAAACGTATTTACATCTACTATGTCAATAATTGATTCGATAAGAAGATCTCTCTGACGGCTTGTCAGTTCGCAGTGCATAAAAACATGTTTGACAATATCGTAGGCAAATGTGCCACATATACACTCTTTTGATTGGATACGCAGAGTACTAATTTGCACCAAGTTTGCAATACAGTGAAATAGATCAGGTCGTAGGATCGACATTTGCCATAATCTATGTATATTCTGGTCTCGCACTGAATAGTATCTATGTTGATTTTCCCTTGACGTTAACTCTTTACATATATGGATATTTTCAGCATCATGAATTGTTTTCGTAACATGGACATTCCATTGTGCTTTATTAGGAAAGCTGGCAGACACAATGTATGTATTTACATAATCTGTCAGGTCGTATTTATATGTTAATAGTAGCATATGGTAGATAGGGGATTTTGTACTTTTAGCTTCTCTTTCATAACATGAGTCAAGTAAGAATTGACTAAGTTTAAAGTTTAAGACATTCTAGAATACAAAGTTTAAATTACCTCTACATAATTTGCCAAGGAACATAAGACAACGTTTTTCTATGTATGCTTGGACTGACAGTAAATTTAAACAGTCTCAAAAGTGCGACAACTGTCGAAGAACATTTAGAGAGCCCCTGGATGTGTTTACAGAAGAAAGATTGAGCTCTTTCAAGTATTTCATACTCTTTAGATGTTAGTTTACACCATAATTCACAAGCAAACAGGGCACATGGTAACATAACTCTGTTCCAGACTCCACAAGCAGACATGGGGTTTAGACCACCAAAGAACAAACCATTGCAGCGATTTGTGTTGACTAACATTCTAAGTTTATCACATGATTTTTGAGTACGCACTAAAGTTGAAGATGCAGTGGTTATGTACAAGCCAGCATACACAACAAGATCTTTTTGAGTTATAATCTTCTCCCCAATGTAAAATGATGGACATGTATGTTTTTGGGTATTACCAAACAATAAGAATACACTTTTATCGGCATTATATTTAAGATACCATTTACAAGAGTACTCAAAACACACATTTAGTGCACACTGTAGGCCATCTATGGCTCCACTTACAATAGTTGTGTCATCTGCTAATAAGATACCTGGCACATTACCCCATGGAAGACTTAAACCGTGTTGTAATGATTCTAGTGCGTATAATAGGTCATTAATATACAATGAAAATAACCAAGCTGACAAAACACAGCCTTGACCAACACCTTGTTTTACAGGAAATTGAGCAGATGCAACTCCCCCTATTTTAACACAAGACTGCATTGAAGTATATTTAGTACGTAAGATACGCCACAGTTTACCATTTATACCAAAGTGATGGAGTTTATAAAATAATCCATTAAGCCATATTCTATCAAAGGCCTTCTCGTTGTCTAGAAAGACACAATACACTGGTGAGTTTCTTTCCCTGTAATAAGCTATACTTTCTAACAGTGTTAATGCAGCTGTTTCAGCGCCAGCACCTTTACGGAATCCAAATTGATACTTGTGCGGGAAAGGTTTACTGTGGCAACACCAATTTTCTATTCTTTCTGAGATGACTCTTTCGAATAATTTGCTGAAAATAGGAGTTAAAGTTATTCCCGGTAATTTGAAGGGTCGCATGTGCTTTTACCTTTTCCTTTGTGTATGGGAAGTATGGTACCAACATTAAAACCACAAGGTAGATATTCATAATGAACAATAGCATTGTAAAGTGCTACTAGGTGATTAATAACAGATCTACCGGCGTACTTTAAGTGTTCATTAACAATACCATCAGGTCCAGGTGATTTGCCGTTCTTAAGTCGCCGAATAGTGCATAACAGTTCATCAAACGTAAAAGGACACTGAAGCAGTGTAGAAGCATCATCACAGTCATCATGAGTATTATCAAGTTGAGATACAAAGTTATTTACATAATCAGTAAGATCTAAATCAAAATTAACATCTGTACATGGTAGAGATAGGTCTCTGAAATATTTAGCAAATAGGTCACATATACCTTCCTGAGTATTACAAGATGTGTTTTCGTAAGTGAGAACTTGAGTGTATTCTTTTTTTACGTTTGTATATTTTGGTAGCTTTAAAGTACTCTTGTATACCTAGTTCAGAAGCCTCATAAATTCTTTTGAATTTAAGATCATCCTCATGTTTCTTTGATTGACGATGTCGTTTTCGGAAAATACGTTTTGCTTCTTTATATGCAATGTAGTAACTATTCTCTTTATCATGGATTTTACCATCACGGATCCATTCATTACGACAATTTCTCATTGTATTATGTAGATCTTTCAAATTATCTTTTTTCCAATATGGTTTCAAGTTTGCTTGGTAACGAGAGGAAGGGATACTTATATTTGCTGCAGAATGGAGAGATTGGGTTACATATGCATAATGAGCTTCGATGTATTCTTCTGGAGATGTATACTGGGAGCATTCGAATTCAACATTTCTAAAATAGTTTTCAGTTTCATACCGATACAATGAGAGATCTACTTGATTGGATTTTCGCCAATTTAGATGTATACCACCAGTATAGCTGTATGTAGGAGTTTCACTACGAAACACCGTGAGGATAGGAAAATGGTCGGATACAGCATAGCTTATGTTATTGTCAACAGCATAACCCAGTACCCTATTTCTGAGATCACAGTCTATGAAGACGTAGTCAATCAAACTTCTTTGTGTTTTACACTTGTTGGAATAAGTAAAAAACATTACTATCATCCAGAGGTATAACAGATACAAGGTTTCGTTCTGTTAGAACCCTATTTAGATACCTAGCTCTACGCTTTGAGTCAACACAGTGTCTTATGTCAGCATTAAAATCGCCAACTAATATTGTCTCTGCTTCTTGAGCGCACTTGTCATATAGATCAAAGGTATTATACAGTTCTTCACAATACCGAGAATCAAGCACGTTTGTGGACGGAAGTCGGGTGCCAATTATAAATGTTGTGCTCCCGTTAATAGTCACCTTTGCACCAAGCATGTTGTCACTCTCTGATACGTAGAGCGCAGAGCTGTTTAATGTTTTCCGGATAAACAGAGCAACACCACCTGCTCCTCTATGTGACGAATGGTCAGTTCTACACTTATAGTATACACTAAAAGAGTCATGTAGATCGAGCAGTGTTGATATTTCAGACTTATTCATCCAATGTTCGTTAATGAATAGAGCATCACAGCCATCGAGCTTTGTTTTGAGATGGGGCAAACAGTTACTAGCACCCCGTACATTCCACGTTATTACACTGAAAGCTGCCATGAGAATATACACAACTCCACACCACGCCCTACTTGTGTGCTTCATTGTCTTGGCTTTTCAGAAATGTCGTCAGTGTACCTATCGCTGTTTGGAATCCAGTCCCTACAGTTTACGTTTTCGGGCCAGAAGCACTCGTCGTCATATATAATATCCGCACATCGTCTTGACACTGTTATTCTGATGGTGTATGTTGGATTACGTCCCCCTTCCCAATGTTTCATCAGCCTGGTATTGGAGACGTTAACGCCACGTTCTTTGGCATATTCACAGATGGCGTCTTTAACGACTTCGTAAGGTTCATCAGCACGAACATAACTCAGTACAAATCGTTTGTTTCTATTTCTGGATACTCCTGAGAAACACTTTTTCCAGTGGTTAGTTAAAGTTACGTTTCTTCTGTCTGTTGATTGGTTTCGTCTCGTGTGTGAGGAGTACTGGTTGTTAGTGACGTAATCTACTGTACCAGTGTCCACAGGAGGGGTTGATATCATAGCTTGTCTGGGTCTCCGCTGTGACGTCATCATTGAATGGCTGGGGTGTGCTGACAGGGCTTGATTGACTATCCCTGGGCTCCATTGTCGTCTTGCTTGGCGTGGTTACATCAGTGCTTGTATCCTTGAGGGCCTCTGAATACAGTAGCTTGTGCCTTGTACTTACGCAATCCATTTTGCCCTCAACTGCTCGTACGCACTTTTCAATGGAGTTGAGCTTTGAATTTAGGCTATCTTTTGTGTCTTTCAGTTCTAAGTCTTTCTGCTTTTATCTGATTGCGTAATTTCACAACTTCTGACTTGAGAGTTTTTCACTATGGCAAAGAGAAGTTATCTCTTCTTTACAACACTTGACCTCGTCAGATTTTCTATCATAGGCTTCAATCAGCTGCATCATGTCTCTATCATATTTTTCCTCAAAGGTTTCTAATTGTTTACATACAGACTCAAACTTCTTATCATATCTTCATGAATACACATCATCTTAGATAGCATTTGCGAGGCAATATCTTTATCCATATCACTTAATTCATGTTGAACTTTGGGCTGGACCGACTTAGCCCTGCTCAGAACTTCAGTCTGTATAACATGTGACTGTATAGCTCCCTTGTAGAACTTATACAGTAGATACACGTCAGATGCATACTTTTCTGCAATTGACTTTGACTGGCCATTTCTTTTCACCCTCTTCACAAGAGTTCCCTCCGGAAAATCCCGACACTCAGTTTTAGCAATATCATATATAGCTTGTCTGATATGGTTCAAACCTTCATCATCATCGACATATGAATCGACCAGCTTTTGTTCACACGTTTTCCTGTCATTACCACCTATAATATCATTAAGTTCATTCAAAATATTATAATCCAGTGGATCAGGGTTCTGTGTTTGATAATACTGTGAAGAGTTCATGTCGGCCATGGTTAGCTCACGTATAAAGGGAAAAGTTGTATTTACCTCAGGCAATAAGTCCATCCATATCGTAATCCATGAATATTATAATCCACAAGTGTAGAATTACATTCTGTAGACACAGAGTCATGTAGGTCGTCGAGTTCAAATTCGTGATTACATCATATAGAGCTCTTAAAAGCACGTCCGTTCACCTCGACACCCCATTAACTGTCACACAGTGTTAACGTGCTGTATATGTGTATCGTTCAACAGGTTGTCTCTCTGGATGGTATGGTCGGCTGTGTATCTCTGTCACACAGTGTTAACGTGCTGTATATGTGTATCGTTCAACAGGTTGTCCCTCTGGGTGGTATGGTCGGCTGTGTATCTCTGTCACACAGTGTTAACGTGCTGTATCTGTGTATCGTTCAACAGGCTGTCCCTCTGGGTGGTATGGTCGGATGTGCACCCGAGAATATGTTTTATGGAAAACTTAGACATTTAAGGTAGATTGTTTATAGAATTTAACACTATGCTGGATGTCTCAAACCCGCAGCCATTTTGTTTTGTCACAAAAATCCCGTTGCGCATCTTTATATCCATTCAATATTTTTGCATTGGACATACGATTACTGTAAATGTGCTTTGTATAAAAACGACATTGCTTTGTGTGCAGAAACCTGTATGTAAAATCTATATTTAAACAACTCAGTTTCCCCTCCACTGATTTGCCTGGTCCAGACACCCCCACCCCAACCCCATAAAAGAAACAAAAACAACACAAAATAAACAAAGAAAGAAGAAAAAAAACATTCGTACATTTGGAGCTGGCTAATCTGTACTATAACAGCTAAACGTGTTGCTGGCAAAACCGTTCAGTTCTTGTCTGGTAAAACGGTCCAATGACATTAGCTCCACCATGATTGTGTTGATGAAGTTTGGGTACCGTAAAATATCATTACAAACTGTTGCGACATACTGGAATAATGACGGGTTTGGCGTTAAACAACCTCCTAACGAACACAATAACATGTCCCAGTCATGAGAACTTCATGGTGGTTTTGTGCGTTACCATTGCAGATGATAGGTTTTGCCTAACAATAACAAAGCTGAGAAATGAATTTATTGATACATATTTTGGATGTTGTTTTGGAATTACTTGTGTGTTAAATTCGTCAAGCATATACCATTCTATTTTATATTGATGCACAGAAAAACGTGATTCAAACACGTGAGTTTTATAAACAGATACGTTACTTTCCAAATCAGATACGTTACTGGCAGAATGACTAGAAAACATATATTTATCATTTCTATTTAATCTGCAAACATCCATGCTAAACTACAAGTCAAAGAGCACCCAGTTAGCAAGGAAGGAACTGTGATGACCATCATATGTTGTTAATTGCCTATATTCGTCAGAGTCCCCAAGCAAATATCAACAAATCTTCTTCCTGTGTACTGGTAACGTGACTCAGTAAACCGTATTCAATATCTTAATTTAGTCACGAGAGAAGATTGTTGTGGACATTGTTCAGATTAGTTGGTAATCATGGAAATGCATAACATCTGAAATATAGGACTTTCAAAACATGTGCTACAAATGTCCTAGATACTTCTAAGGGCGGGTAGTTCACCTTTGAACAAGGTTACAATATGCAGCTTTGATTGCTGTTTTGGGAGTATATATGTAACTGTGAATAGTTTATATATGCCGATGAGAGGGAGAATATGTAAAAAATATTAGTGGTTATCGATACTTAACACAATAAAAGTAACTCTTACTAATTCATTCGTTTATGTGACATGTTAGAAGAAATACTTTCAAATATAAATGCCCCAATGCCTTAGGTTTTATCAAGCAAATGTATGGCATGTGCAGTTCTGAAAGAAAACACTAGGAGTACCTTGACTATGGCTAAGACTGCATAGACTTGAGGCTGCATAATCCCCAGACTATCTAACGTATTAGCTATCGCATGAGAAGATTTCTCATCTTGTGTCCATATGTTTGATATGACAGTATTTTATATGTATGAGAACATTTCAACTAATCGCACCTTTCAAGAATTCGGTACCTTAGAGAGTTATGCATGAATTCATCTTAAAAATAAACCTTTGTTAAAGGGATACGCTGTTATGAAAATACCATTCTAGATGATTCGTTTGAGTCAATTAACAATGGGTAATATATTAAACAAAACAAAAATCCCACTGAGTTTTTGTACCATTCGATATTTTGATACATTATGAAAACTGCGTTGCTTTATATGCCGAAACCTTGATGTAAAATATATATTATGCTACGCGACAAACGGGATCGGTTGGTCAGGCTCGCTGACTTGGTCGAAACATGTCGTCGTATCTTAATTGAGTAAATCGATGCTCATGGTGTTGATCACTGGTATGCCCGGCCTAGACATGACTGTAAACAGACCGTCACCATACAGCTGAAACATTGCTGAGAGCGGCGTTAAACAACAAACAAACAAACATTCGTATTAATGGTGCTTGTGAAACCGTACTATAACAGTCAAACGTGCTACTGGCACAAAACGTCCTGTTCCTGTCGAGTAATACGGCCAAGTAAATATAGATCCACAAATAGTGGCAAATTGTGGGTACTGTACTCTACCTAATCACCACAGTGTTGGAAACATAACTGAAAATATCATAAAAGATTAGATATGTTTGTAAAAGTTAATTAAGATGTTTTAAGCCAAAATATTGACATTGGATCTCGGTGCTCATGGTCTTGATCACTGGATTGCCTGGTCCAGACTCGATTATTTACAGACTTTACACAGTGGAATAATGCTGAGTCTGGCGATAAACAATCAACAAACAAACACAATGCTAAGTCTTTCTTTGTACATGTTCCGAAAAAATGCTTCAGCCGTAGACAGTGGACTCTTGTACGAAAAAATGGCATTGTATTGGCAAGGTCTGTAATACATGATACGTCGCTTGCGCCGGACCATCATGACATGTGCTTTGACAGGCTGACAGAATCATCCGAGCCATGATCTCCTGACCTCTGACCCAGCAACTCAGATGTTGCCGAAAAAGCATTAAACGTTTCCTTCAGAAACTTCCTTCAAAGCATATTTTTCCAAACCAACACCTCACGCCTGGCCGAGATGTTCGGTCTGTTTGTATCAGTCCTTACCCAGCTAATGATAAAAATAATATGAATCAATCTACCAACCGCCTGTGTAAAAAAAGACAACAGAATTAAACGACAGATTAGCTGATAACTAAGATCTGTTTGGATGACAAATGTTTTAATAATATATCTGTGCGAATGTCATGTATTTCTTTGTGAAAATGAGAACTCAATGTATTTTCTGTTTTGTATATTTTGCAGTTTCCTCGCATCTAGGTAAGTATTAGATTCTATTTTCCGAGCTTGTTGGTGAAGGGCATGCCTAAAGTGTGATAACCACTTAAAAAGAAAAGATGTATTTTAAGTTGGTGGTTGTCTGTTGGTACTGAAAACAATATTTACTGTTGTTTAGGGATTTCAGGTATTATCATCACGGGAAGATAGTAAAACTTGGCATCTTCAGATATTTCAGTTTGACTTCAACTAGAAACAGAAAATGAGAATAAAGTACCCAAAGGTAACTATTAGAACATCTGCTGATTGTCTTTGACTGAGACACCTGATATTATCTTCGGTTACACACGGTCGTATATATATAAAATATATTAAAAGCAAGATTACGATGGCGAGAATCTACCTAAACTCAATAGGGAGGTGCAGGGATCAGAAACAATATTATTTTCCTGGTCACATGTGAGCAAGAAACACACGAACAAATATCAAGCTGCAACAGAATACTCGCACGGCTTGAAAAAGGGGATGGCCAGCAGGTAACCATTATCAGATACCTTCTTTCAGTAACTAGTCACTGATATGAAAACAAATGCGTAGAAAGTACAACACCTAACGCAAAATGTAAAAACAATTATTAACGTAATATGTAAAATATTAGCGCAATATGTAAAATCCACTTTTAGGTTTGAATATAAGGGGTGGCGATCAAAATCCATTTTTGCCACAAATTTGCAAAAAATTGACTTTCTTTACAAAAACTAAGATATCGCAATGTTTCTTACAAAATAAACTTCATATTACATTTTATTTACAAAATTTTACCTTGTTCAGTATACACGTAAGCAGAGTCGATAAACATATAATTTCCTTGTATATGGAGATATTTTAATCGATGTTATAGTCTGTTTTCGAAAGTTTGAAAGGAATAATTTTATTCTTCAAACTTGTTTTCATAAATGATATTTTGGGTTGTATTCATTATGTCTTATTCAAGAAGATTTGACCTTTCCTTCAAACTGCCAATTCCGTTGTTGATAATCTGTGATTACCGAATTGGGTTTTTAAAGAAAACCACTTATTGATCCTTCTTACATTGGTTTGAAATAACATGAATGTTGTAGCAATGTTTCCAATTTTAATTCATTGTGTATGGGAGTCCGAATTAATGGCAATTGGTACTTGGCATCGTGATGGTAGCTCTGACCATTGGACTTCTACCAAGCAACTGATCTAGGAGAGAGCGCCAATAGTTATGATTTGACTGTGTACATGAAACAACGATGGGCGGTTTAAAGGGAATACTGGAATAGTTCCTAGATGCGTGCATCTTGAACCGCCATAGCTTCAAGTAAACCAACTGAGAATATGAAAGAAGCTATACATTCTCTCTCTCTCTCTCTCTCTCTCTCTCTCTCTCTCTCTCTCTCTCTCTCTCTCTCTCTCTCTCTCTCTCTCTCTCTCTCTCTCTCTCTCTCTCTCTCTATCTATCTCCCTCCCTCCCTCCCTCCCCCCTCTCTCTCTCTCTCTCTCTGTCTCTCTGTCTCTCTGTCTGTCCCGTGAATCAGTGAGTGAGTGAGTTAATAAGGTTAAACACCCTTTCAGCATTTTTTCAGATATTGAATACGTTAATTACACTGAGATAAACAATAGAATAGCTGGTTCCATTGGTATAATGTTTGATACTACGTCAAAAAATCATAGAATGTCACAAAATACACAGCGAATGGCAATCTATGTGATTAAATGGTGAATTACGATAATAATTTCTTAGGCGTGGTTTATGATTTTGCAATTCTATACATGTATCATTGATCTTGGCTTTGGCATGTTTGATGGATTCAGTTTTCTTAAACCTAAAACAACAAGTCATGTTACCCATTTACATCAATATTCCATATTACTTAAATTGCATCAAATGCAATAACTTTATTTCATTAAATTTGAGCGATCAACATCGGGATCCAATCTCAAATGTCTCTGGTATTACTCGATTTCATTGACAGCAATATTACCTGTGCCTTGATTGAAGGAAATCAAATGTTATTGGAATGCAAATACTCGAATCACTGCGATGCATCTTGCATGTCCATTATACCTAAAGTCATGCATTACATATCAACATGTTCCCGAAATTGATAACATGAGTGGGTAGAGTTAGCGTTTAAAATTCCAGCCTGTCCTACTGTCCGGAACGGTCTGTTTTTATCTCGGACGATCAAACTTCAAAAGTAGCCTGTCCGGTGGTCTGGTAGATATTTTTACCCCTAACAGTATATATTTCATAATATCAGTCATGTTCTCTTGTCGTCAGTTTGAGGTGTTTATGGTATTATGATGATTATGTTAAACTACCTACGATTGGACCGTTCATGTTACGATAACCAATGACAACACGTGTCTTTTCAGTTTACCTTAACTCGGTGCATTGCCTGTTAGTGCTATGTAGGTCATTGCGATGCCTACAAACAGTAACCTGACTAACCTGAATTTGTTTTTTATTGGTGAAACCGGACAGGCAATTTTGTTTCCGGTCTGGTAATTTTTTAAAGTTACCAGTCTGGCAGTCTAGCTTGGAATTTTGGGAATTTTAAACACTTCTAGAGTGCTTTGCATCAATCCCTTTACAGCAAAGTTCAGTATGTAATCACTTGGAATTGATCAAACACAAAACAAAATTTCCCAAGGTGTCATTAACTGAAAATGCGTGAATCATGAACACCCACATTGATAAAAGATAAACCAGAAAACCATACGACAGCTGCGCGATTAGCCCGCTACATGTCATAATTTCAACTATGTCACAAGCATTTATTTGTGAGAATCCCTTATACAGTGATGATTCGAGGGGTTTTGGTGAAATACACAATCATTCATAACTGATATTCCAGTGTTTTCCTAAACTATCATGCAAAATCTTTGTGCATCCCGTGAAAGATATACCCCTCCTCCCGTATAGAAAAAGTAGTATCGCAAATAAGACGACAGATCATTGAAATCATCTTTTATCACTTCTCATTGTTCTGTCAAATAAACTATGTTGAGTATCGTTATCATGTTTGAGATTTGCCTCAGACAATGGACTATCTTTTATTGATAACATATTGCAGGAGGACTTCTAAGACGTACATTTGGTATCAGATTCCATTATCCTTGGTTATTTTTATTCAAAACTGTTATTCCGTACAGAACAGTGGTGTCGCATACAGAATATAAGATTACTGAAATTATCCATGATCATTTCCCAGTGTTCTATCAGATAAAATATGTTGAACGTTTGGCAGTTAAGCTTCTTTAACTTGTTAGACAGGTTGACACAACCATCCGATTCGCGATCTCTTGTGCTCAATAGATATACCCAAGTTGCAGAATGAAAACCAAAAATATAGGTTTCTTCAGAAGCCTCCTCAATGCACCTTTTTCAAAACCTTGACCTCGAAACATAGTCCAAGATCTGCTGCTATTGCCAGTCTTTCAGTGGACAAAATCTGAAAACAATATAAAACAATCAGACAAGAAGTGTACAAATATACACCAGAACAAACACACAAACAGCGTTTGGCATTGCAAGTTCTTTTGGAATTACAGTTGTGTGAATTTGTTCTTTATTGTAAGGTAAATATGGGCAAACTGTTGCAGGAGTATTGCTCTCTGGTAAGTACATGTTTCCATTTTGCGAGTTGTTAATGTTAAGGATGCCTAAAAATCAGATTAGAAAATGCAGTTTGTATATGAGTGGGTGCCAACTAGAATTGAAAACAACATTTCAAACTATAGCTAAACATGGCAAATTCAGAACACTGACTTTGAAGTAGGCCTGGTGATTCGTCATAACCACCTAGAGAGCTGCTGCGAACGTAAGTTGTCCACATACAATTATAATCCGTATGCTGTGAAGTGGTACCAATGAATGGGAAATAGATTTACATTCAGAAGAATCAAATATTCTTAAATGGCAAGAACATTAACCATTTTGAATTCCTTGTGATGAGAGAATCACGGTCAAGCATGTACTGATTGACTGTATTGATTGTTCCATCACAAGGGAAACAAATAGTGCAAAAAAACAGTTAAGCATTGATTATCATGTAAATATTGAATTTTTAAAGGAAATTGAACTAATTGATAAATTTTGATGGTTATGTTTTGTATATTGATATATATTTTATTATTGGTAATTAAATGAGCACCTTAGATTGTTAGAAGCGATATCCTCAAGAGAGGTTGAAGTTCCGTAAAATTATTGTCCTCCTGAGAGGATAGGTAAGTCCCAAAACATTCGAAGAAACATTTAATGTTCCACCGTTTCACTCGTAGTATTACTGTCATTTTAATTGTGGCTAAATTTGCCTACAATCGCCAGCAGTTGAAGGAATGGTGTAAATTCTACTAGGGTCCATGCAGGTAGCAAAGGCATTGTAAGTCCCTTTGGTCCTAGTATAGTGATCTACCTTCAGTTGTTGGCGATCAATAGCCCATTTTTATATTGTATTGTCTTGTATGAATATAATATAAATCAATCACCCAACCGCCTGTGTTAAAAAAATAATCCAGAATAAAAGCACAGATCAGTTGATAACTAACAGCTTTTTGGATGGCAAATATGTTTTTTTTTCTCTAAAATACGTTTGTGCATAGTGAAAAGTCGATATATTTGTCCTAGTTTCTTGATGACAGACCAATCTACTGTGTAAGAGCCATTGAACAAATGAATCACAAGTGGATGGTTGACTGCTGATATTTGAAACAATTTTCACAGTAATCTAAGACTTTCAGGTATCACCATCTCCCCTCCTTACAACACCGGGAAGTTGGTAAAAATTATCGCCTTCACATGTGTTCTTAGTTTGACTTCAACTGGAAGCAGCAAATGAGCATAAACTAGCCAAAGGTAACCATTAAAATAAATGCTGATTGTCGGTGATTGTGACAACTGACATTTTCACCAGAAACACGTCTTAGTGGTTAAGCGGAACGTTGAAATGCCTGTTTTCTGGGTCTGCTCCAGTGTAGTGCACAGTTGCTCAGCTACAGTACACGATATT